CATTGCTGGTGGGACTGCACATTGGTGCAACTAATATGGACAACAGTATGGAGACTCCTTGGAAAACTTGGAATGGAACCACCATTTCACCACCTATCCCACTCCTCAGTTTATACCCAAAGGACTTAAAAACAGCATGCTACAGTGACGCAGTCACATTAATGTTTATAGCAGCACAATTCACAATAGCTAAATTTCGGAACCAACCTCAATGCCCTTCAATAGATGAATGGATAAAGAACCTGTGAGACATGTATATATATATATATATATATATATATACATATATATATATATACACACACGTACACATAAACATATATATTCACACACACACACACACACACACATATATATATATATATATATATATATACACATACACATACATACATACACAATGGAATATTGCTCGCCAATAAAAGAGAAGAAAATCATAGCATTTGCAGGTAAAAGGATGGAGTTGGAGAATACTACGCTAATTGAAGTAAGCCAATCCCAAAAAACCAAATGCCAAATGTTTTCTCTGATATGAGGATGCTGATCCATAATGGGGATGTGGGAGCAGGGAGCATAGGAGCAATGGAGGAACTTTAGATAGGGCAAAGGGGAGGGTGAGGAGGGGAGGCAACAGGTGGGTAGGAAAGGCAGTGAATGAGATGGACATCATTACTCCAAGTACATGTATGAAGACATGAATGATGTGACTCTACTTTGTGTTTAACCAGAGACATGAAAAATTGTGTTCTCTGTGTGTGCTGTGAATTGAAATGTAGTCTCTCATATATAATAAATTAGAATAAATAAATAAATTTAAAATAATTCACTGGATGGATTGAACATCAGATAGATACAGAAAAGGATAATGAAGTAGAGGATATCTTATTAATATATGACTCCTAATACTGTTCACAGACACAGGGAAAGATGATGAACTAGAGGTCAAGAGATGTGGAGAGCAGAGTGAGAATGCAAAATACATGCTCAGTTGAAGTACAGAATGGACGTAATAGATTGGCTGGGAAAGAGATGTGTGTGTATATATATACACACAGAGATAACAGCTGAGACCATTTCAGACAACAAATCTTGGAATCCCAGTGAGGCCTAGGCATGATAAGTAAAAACCACACATAAGCACATTGTGGAGAAACTGCAGAAGTACATAGGAAAAAAAAAAAAAAAAACCAGCCAGGGAGAAAAGAGTGATTTCCCACGATTGCTGGCTTCTCACCAACAGGTGTGAAGCCAAAGAGAGCAGAAGGGTATCTTCCATGAGCTGAGAGAAAATAACCAATATAGAATGCTATATTCTAGGATACTGTTTTTCCAGACTAAGAAAGGGCTAAAGCAAAATAAAGACATTGTCACATAGGTAAAAATTGAGATAATTTATTACCAATAAATCATCAATTAAAAGAAATTATAAAATTCTAGGTAGCAGGCCAGTGATGCCAGAAGGAAAATCAGAGGTGTAAGAAGAAATAATAAATAGCACAAAAAAGTGAGTAAAGCTAAGTGAAACTGAGTAAATATAAAAGAATTGTAATTGTTAATTTATATAAAATATTGGATTAAAATAACAATTGAGGCTTTGCAATGATTGGAATTAAACCATTATAATGCCCTTAGTTTGTTCCAGAGGAAAGAAAAACTGTTACCTTAGACTGTGGTAAGAAAGCAAATTAAAATACTTATCATAACTATTAAAAGAAGAGACACCGAGCAAAAAACATTCAATCAGTAGACAGGAAAAACTAAAACAAGAAAAAGGGGGAAAATATTAATCCAAAAGAAATACGTAAAGAAATTAAAAAATATTCATCATCACAGTGAAAGTAAAGGAAAAAAAAAAGTTCAATTGGATTTTTAAATATCTAACAAAAATTGTTTAAAGTGATGCAAGAGTTCAAAAAGTCAATGAATAGAAAAAAGATGTACTAAGAAAGTATTATAGCTATGAGTTATAAATTCAAAACAAAAGAAATTGTTAGAAGTAAATCTGATTACTATGTAACAATAAAAGGGTCATTTCAATATGAAGATAAAACAATTTATTTTTTTTTATTTTTATTTTTTGAGATAGGGTGTTGGTATGTTATCTGGGTTGACCTTGAGCTTGTAATCCTCCTGTCTTAGTTTACCAAGTAGCAGGAATTACAGGCGAAAATAAAGCAATTCTAAACTTGTATGCACCTTAACATCATCTCAGAATATATAAGCAAAATTTAAAGAACTACAAGGAGAAATTGGCAAATCTATCAATCATGGTAGATTTGTAACATACCTCTCTCAATAACTGATAAATCAAGGAGATACAATTCAGAGACTTGAGTAGCATAATCATCAAGTGTGACCTAACGGATGCATATAGAGCATTTTACATAACAATAAGAGAATTGCCATTCTTTTCAGGCATTTGGACCACATACAAAAATTAACTCCACGCTTGGTTGTAAAGTTAATCTTCAAAAATAAAAATGGCCTAACAAAGACCATATGTTCTTCAAAATGCAATTAATTTAGATAAAAATGTATTATTAAAAAATAACTTACAAAGTTGACTTATACCTTGTGAATAATATCTCTGATACATATGAAGTTGCCTCCTTTTTGATTTTATAATATATAATCAAGAAATAAAAGAGAGGAAAGCTGGTGTAGTGGTGTGTGCCTATAATCCCAGCCACTGAGGAGGCTAAAGCAGGAGGATCACAAGTTTGAGGCCTGTCTCAGCAATTTGGTGACACCCTGTCTCAAAATAAATAAATAGAGGGCTGGGGATATAGCTCAGTGGTAGAGCACCCTGGTTTCAATCCCCAGTACTACAAAAAATAAAACACAAAACAAAAAGAACCAAAAGAGAGGGTATAAATAACAATTTTACATATGAAAAAAATGAATGTAAATACAGTTCTGTGCAGATTAATAACAAAGGATTTCATGAAAATCTAAGTAACATTTGAAAGCTTATATGATACTATAATTTCCTTAAAAATATATTTTATCAAAACTAATTCAAGAAAAAATTAAAATCCTGAATGATTTTATAACCATTACAGTAAATTAAAGCAGTATTTATTAAAACATTTCCTAAAGAAAATATGAGGTCAAGAGAAATGAATTCTATCAACATTTAAGGAATAGGTAAATTCAAACGCTTTAAAAGAACACACACACACACACACACACACATTTCAATTTATAAGGTTAGTATAACCTTGATACCCAAACCAGAGGGATATAATTGAAATAACAAAATGTAAAAGGAAAAAATTATAAGCCAAGTTCACTGATGAACAAAAACAAATATTAGTCAACTATTATAAAACACAATAAGCCATGATTGTCAGTCATACTGGCAATGCAAATTTGGTTTATTATTTTAAAATTAATTGATTTCAGTTGTCATAATAACACTTAAAAGAAGCAAACCATATGATCACCTCCAGAGAAAAAGAAAAAAAAAGCCTGATGATTTCTTTTCAACATCCATTCAATCCATTCATACATATTTTTAAAAAACAAAATCTTACATAAATAGTATAATTATGAGAAACTGAACGCTTTCCCTTCAAGTCAGGGACAAGACAAGGATGCCCTAACATCCTCCTATTCAAATTTTTTCTGGATATTCTAAAAAATACAAAAGGATAATATGAAGTATAAAGTATAAGATTTGAAGAAGAAAAGATGTTACTATTTTCAGATAATATGACCATTTATATAGAAAACCTGAAAATCTACACATATATTTTTAAAAATAAAAAAATTTATCAAGACTGCTGGATACAAAATCAATACAAGAAATAAATTTCTGTATACCAGCAACATTAAGAAAATTTTACAGCATTAAAACTGTGAAATATTTAGGAATAAATATTTTGTATCAAAGATGTAGTAAATTCCATGTGGAAAATTATGCAATTTTTTTGAAAGACTATAGGAGACCTTATTAACTAAATACTTTTAGATAAGAAGACTCAAAATTATAAAGACATCAATTCTCCTCAGATCTACAGCTTTGCTTAGAACTTGACAAGCAGATTTAAAAATTACTTGGAAGAGCAAATACTTAAAAGTAATCCATAGATATCAGAGGAGAAAGCTGGAGAGAGTTTTTTTTTCTCTGCTAGTTATTATGACATTATTGACCAGGGTAATTAAAATAATTGACAAAAACTTAGACGAGTGCAACCAATAAGGCCCGGGTTCTATCCTCAGCACTACATACAAACAAAGATGTTGTGTCCGCCGAAAACTAATATACAAATATTAAAAATTCTCTCTCTCTCTCTTTAAAAAAAAATGAGTATGATAAGCACCATCATCTAAAGTAACTTTATTCTTCCCATCAGACAGACAAATCCAAAACGGAAACACACCTCAATTTTAACTTTTAGGAGGTAGAATTAAAATTTTTTTTTCACAAATAGAAATTTAGAAGTTCAGATGTTTACTAGCACTTTTCCCCTTAACAGCTATTTAACCCGTAAAGTTCTTTAAACTGACCCATCATTTCCAGTGGTAGCACATAAAGACTGTGACCAATAGTAATTTGTCTTGAAAAATGACATTAGCAATATCCAAAAACACTGAAGCAGCTCTGCAAAATTTCTAAGGTACCTGAGTTCCTCTTATTTTTTTGTTGCTATAACTGGGTAATTTATTTATTTATTTTATTTATTTATTTTTCTAAGGGACTTTTAAATGGGCATCCAGCAAATAAGTAAAAATGACATCTAGGGAGGGGAACACTTGATAGACCCTGACTTTCCCTTATCAAGGGATATTGAGATATGGCTTTTAGGAAGAGACACTAGGAGAATGCACTAATTGTATGTGATTGCTTTGACTCTCCCATAAGTGTTCAATGGTAATGCATATAGTTTGTTAAAGGAATGGTTTTAAGAATGACTTTGAGACTTCAAATTGTTTAGTCACTTTAGATTAGTTCAAAAGATGCTATATTTAAAAATTGAAATACAATGCAAATAGTCTTCAATTTAAAATGCCATCTGTTTATTTAGAAGTTCAAAGTATTGCCAAAAACAAACAAAAAAGAAATAAGAAAAAATAACAGTGTCCAATGTGATAGTAGAATTCTAAGATGACTCCTGGGGACCTGGTATAACTACCTCCACGGGTATGGATGTGACTTGTGAATGTGATGGGAATTCCTGGATTAGGACACTAATCAGCTGACTTTCAGTTAATCCAAAGGAAGATTTCTGATCTTTTGGGTGGACCACCTGACTCGGGCAGGTGAAATCTTGTACATACTTAAGTGTGTTGCAAGCTTCCATGTTGTGAGAGGGCCAAAACCCAAGCAAAGAAGCTGTCAAGGAAGAGGGAACCTCAGGCCAGATAGCAGGAAAAGAGGACCTCAGTTCTACGATTGCAAGGAACCAACTTGTGCCAACAACCCTGAGAGCTTGGAGTGGACCTGAGATAGGGATTAGATAGAGAGAGAGAAATACTGAATCTTAAAGAAAACACCCACAAGCCACGGAGACATAGAAAACATAGTTGTAAATCTTGAACAATATGCCCTTGTAAAATGAGGGAAATACTCAAGCGCAGGGAAAACTAGCATGACATTGTGCAGCTCCACCCAGGATCCACCCCCAGTCCAGCCCTCAATACAGCTCTTCTATAAATATTGGACCCCGGCCCAAGTCAGGGCTGCTTCTCGCTTGAGACAAGTCTGCATTCTCCCTTAAATGTTTATCTGCCTTCCTGAATAAACCTGAGTCTTTGTCTGACTTGTGCTGAAATTCTTTTCCATCACTTATGCTAAGAACCCTACTGGTCCTGAGTGGACCAGTAGGGTCTCTCTCCCCTCTGGGAACTCCTTGGGCCCTTTCCCAGAGACATCTCTTCTCCCGTGACATAAGACCTCAGCAAAACCACAGACCAGCTAGAAATTTGACTTAAGTCTAGTGAGACTGAGCAGAGAACCCAGTCACACCATGCCAGGGTTTCTATATGCAAAACTAGAGCTAATAAAGAGGGGTAATTTTAAACCACTAAATGTATGCTCATTTGCTATGGTGCGATAGAAAATTCATATATCAGTTCTTTCTGGAACTAGAAACTGATAGTTAAGAGCTTATTACAGACTTTCAGTTTAAGATGGTAGAGTATTAAAATCTCTGCCCCCCTTTTTTTCTTGAAAGTCATCCAACAACAAAGTTTTAAAATAAATGATTTTTTTAAAAAAAATCCAGAACAGAAAAAGGACAGAGCTTTAAAAAAAAAAAAAAAGCAAACTCCACTTTTAATGCAACCAAGAGGTATTGTCAACTCCAAATGGACCACAGGTAGAGGTGGAGAAGGCCTTGTTAACAGGTCAATTTGTTACGCACAATGGGAAGAGGAACAGCAGGGTGTAGTAGGCTGTAATACTCAAGCAGGTAGACCTGGATTCTCTGCTCTCTCCAGGGCTGATTTGGAGACAAAGGGCAAAGTGAAGCAAACAGGAAGTGAATGATAACACCCTCATTTCCCGTAGCTGACTTCAAAGAGCCACATTTCTCAGGCTGGGAGAAGAGGATTCCTCCCCTCCTCTAGAGAAACCTGTCTCTTCAAGGAAAAGACCTGCAGAAAATGGGCAAAGCAAACAGCCTCCCTGCAGGGAAGCCCAGGAGTTAGCAAGCTCCACCTGCAGCTTTCAACAGCTCAGAGGAAAGCTTCCAAGTGCCAAGGACTTCAAGGCCAATCAAAAGGAAGGGGGAAAGCCACTCAGAGGAGAAGCAGGTAAACAGGGAGATTACTCTGAAAATATTACAATTAGAAAAATGAGATACCAGGGGTCCAAGTAATAGAGGGGAAAATGCCTGGGATAATCAGAACAAGTGGGATATTCGTGTCTGTCAGGACTACACTGTTGAGGGAAGCTGATTCACTGATAAGTCCTGAGTATTCTGTCTGCATAAAAACTGGCGAGTTGTCATTCTCGTCTAGTAGATGCACTAAAACAGTTGTATTAGTGGACAAACCAGCCATGTTGGTTCCCTGGACTGTCAATGTATAAATGGGCAAAGTTTCAAAATCCAGGGCTTTCTGAGTGATGATACTTCCAGAATGTGGATTAATATCAAAAGCATCACCTATATTTCCATCTTTTATTTCATATATCACTGATGACTGACTATGGGCTATAACTAGTCCAACAAAACTCCCAATGCTGGTAATTTCACTAATTTCAACAGAGTATTCTTTTGATGTAAACTTAGGAGCAGCATTGTCAGCAATCGTGACAAAGATATGCACAGAAGTCATTTCACTCATTGGTGGACTGCCTTTATCTGTAGCTTTCACCATTAAATCATATTCCACTTGGTTACTTCGATCTAATTCTTTGGCAGTTTTTATAGAGCCCAAGATGGGATCAATCATAAAAGAATTTCCAATATTTCCTGAAAGAGGGAAAAAAATACATGTTAGAGGATATGAGACATAATAATAGTAGCTGGACAAAGAGAAACAAAAATATCTTAAAATGATATTTTGAAATTAAGCAGAAATGCAGAGGACATTAATATTTGAATGGAACCATCAACTGTTTCCTGTTTCATTTTAATCCATCTAAAATAAGGCATGTTTTTCAGAAATTTGACTACAAGAAACAGAAGAAATATCATTTTGTACCTAAAGCCAAAACTCATTCTGTTGTCTGAACTGGAAATATGTTTTGGAAAGACATGGTTGTCTCTCCATAAAGCATCTGAGTTAATGATTTTCCAATAGTTCCTCAAAAGCCTTCTGGAATATATTTGCATTTGCAAATTCATAGCGATCTAATTAATTATGAAAAGGAAGATTTCAATTCACTGGGAGAATTTACATTAAGATTCAAGAGAGCTGTCCATTACTTTCAATATTTGGTGTACTGAGGATTCCAACAATAGTTCCTTCATAACCTTTTTCAGCCCAATTTATCTTCTAGTCAGTAGTTCTCAAGTAGGGGCAATTTTGTTCCCAAGGACACATCTGGCAATGTCTGGAGATACTTCTGGTTTTCCCAACTTAGAGGGAGAAAGCGTTACTAGCATCTGGTGGTAGAGAACAGGGATGCTGCTAAACATCTTACCATGCGTAGGACAGACCCCCAAGACAAAAATTTTCTGGTCTAAAATGTCAATAGTGCTGCAGCTGACGAATAAACTAGTAGGACACATTGTTTTGCTTAATTTTCTTTAAACCTTTCCAGGCTATGCTATATATATTTAGCTATAACCTCAACTCCAAAAAAAATCCCATAATTGTGTGTCTTTTCAAGAAACCAGCAATTCCTGTAGCTTTTTTGCATAGATCAAGGTAGTATGAGAGTATTTAGGATAGATCCATCCGTAAGCCTTCCATCCATTTTGGTTTCATAAACAAATATGCAGAATTTATAGTACTAAACTTATTTTTCCCCCAAAGAACTATTATGCTTCCCCAAAACAAGCTACTTAATTGTGTTCTTAAATTAATTTTCCTCTAGGTTTGCAATCAGTATGGTACTTCATAGACTAGAACTGCTTAGAGTGATGTGCAAACCAGGGAATTAGTCCAGCACTTCTTTCTCCACATAATTAACAGTAAACACTTCCTCTACAGTCTTCATTTCCTTCCTTTAATACGTTTTCCAAAAATCCATGACAATTTTTTGAGGCCAGACCCAGCCTGGTTTTCATTAAGTCTCCCTGGCTCTGTGTCCAGACCCCAAGGCGGTCCCTCAGTCTGCAACAGGGAGGAAGCCAGGGTTTTTCTAGAACCTGCAGCTCTGGACTGAACTCTGGCCTAAGGATGGAGTCCTGCAGCTTCTGCCAGGCTGCTCAGACACTAATATCCGGACTGTCTCTATTTAAATGAGCCAATGATCCCAGGTTCTCTCTCAATGATTTTTAGGCAGTCATTAGAACTCAGGGATGCTTTTCTCATTCTATCCCGTACATCATCTTTATCTTTCAAAACTGTGACAGACTGGCCTGGCAAGACATGGGATACCATGGTAACCCTTGGCAGCTACCTCTCCACCCCCCAAAATTTATATTCGCCCATTGACATATATTTCTCTTTTCTTTTTTTTAAGCATTCTTTTTTTTTTAACCTTTATATTACTCATTTACTTTTATGTGGTGCTGAAGATCAAACCCAGTGCCTCACACGTGCTAGGTGAGCACTCTACCACTGAGCCACAACCCCAGCCCCATATTTCTCTTATTTTCTATAGTGAAATTTTATTTTGCCAGAAAAGCTTCAAATAGGCAAGGCTTCAACTAAAGAAATTAACATTCTCTCAGGCCTTTGAATTTGGTGTGTCCTTTCCTAGAACCGCCTTCCCTAGCTGTTTCTCCATCTTCTCCATTCATTTCTTTACTCATTCATTTAGGTTTTACCTGAACGGCCCTGCTTAGAGAGTGTGATGGTGAGGCCTTCCTTGACCTCCCTATTCAGTATAGAGATTTCTGTTATTTACCTGTTTTTGTTGTTGTTGTTTTTTACAGTATATATGACAACCTTGCTCTTTACCAACCATAGGAAATTTAGAAACATACTTCATCATCTGGAGTAGCTTGAGTTTTAAAAAAGGTAGCTCTGAACTTGTCACTGATACCAAGAAGGTTCAACAGAAACTTAGCCAGTGATTTAATGTATGGATCTTTCTTTCTCTCTGTCTCTCACACATAGAGAGAGGCAGAAAGCATCAGATATACAGAAGGGAAAGCAACGTATTTTTGTGCAAAAACAACAAGGGCTGCTGACTGGTGTATCACTAACAGTTACATCTGCCCACACTGAAATATACATATGGTTTTTACGAACCAATCAGAAAGGCAGTGAGCGGCAAAAGTTGAGGTCTTAGTAATTTACTTTAGCTGAAATATTTTAACTTTATATTGTTCTCTGTATTTAAACAGGGAAATCATCTGAACAAACACACCCATTTTTGGTTTTTAGCTACCACTATAGTTTAATGTATCTCCCCCACAGAGAAAGTAAGAAAGATGTGCAGGAGAATCTTGTTTCTTCTTGTGATTGACACACTGCAGATGTTCATTCAGTAAAGGCCTAATCAAAGTAAGGCAACCTTTACCAAACTTCACTGTAATTACATTTAACATGACCTTGGAGAAAAAAAACAATTCAAATCAATAAATGTATTTACTGAATGTATTTCCAGGTGTCATAACAATAGTAGGAATGTCCCAATAATCTACTTTTAAAAATAACCTAAAAAGAAGAAAATACCACATGGCTCAGAGTATGGCACTGATGTGTCTCTAGTGCATAGCCCAACTGATACTGAAAATATCTTTTAATTAAATTCCTTTTCCCCTAAAGACTCCTAATCAGACTAAACCTTTTGCTCAATAAATTGCTGCTAATTAAACATACAGTGTTATGGATGGAATTTATAACTAGTCTTTTGAACTTTATTAAATGTAATCTGACACAATTTAGGAAGCAGCTGATTATGGATAAACTGATAAATAAAAGGCAGTAAGAACATTTTATAGTTCATACCATACCAAAAGATGTACATACAAACAATTCTATTGCATTTTCCTGGTAATGGTTTCCTAAGAAATAATTGTTTAGCATAACTTTACCAAAACTATAAAAACATATTAAAAGCTCCAATACCATATTAGAATAGCCCATTGGTACTATCTATTCTTTGAGGGCAGATAAGAGTTCCATTCTTAGAATACCAAATTACTAATCCCATCAGTCATTACAAGCATTTGAAGAATGCACATGCCTTGACTCAGACACCAACAATCATATTTTAACCACCCAGTTGTTGAAAATTATGTGAAAGCTAAGGGAAAGTTTAACATTTTCTCCTACATAACCCCAGCCAGTTTGTCTATGACAAAATTACTTTATTGAAACGCTCAGGCATGCACAAATGGAATGTACTGTTTTTCTAACTGCTAAATTTTTGAACCAGTGGAAAAATACTTGTATTCAAGTCACTAACTATACTACAATGCATCTCAACACTGCAATCACAGACAGTATGTAAAATCATATTTGTGAATAATAAACTCAATTCAGTTATTTTATGGGAAACATATGAAATTTCAAATATGTAAAGAAATAAGAATAGTTTAAGCACATAAAGTAGAAAAGTAAGTATTGTGTAAAAATTATTCTCCATTTACTCAGATTTTTATTTTATGATCTATAGATAATCTAAACACTATGGAATCTAATGTATAGGAGAGACCACACCTAAGTAGATAGAGCTCTGCACTTAATAACAACAGAAATCAAGGAAAGCAGAAGATTTCAATTCTCTAAAACCATTATGAATATTAGAATGAAAGAAACAATATTTCTTGTACTAACAATGGCACTGAGGAAGGTGGAAAAAAAAATCAAACCACTTTCTCAATATTTCATCATTTACTCAAGAGTATTTGGCATGAGGAAGGAAAGTCTCAAAGCAATGAAATTTCTAACTGTGCAATCACATGCTCTAGAGCAGAAATCTTTTAGAACACATATGTCCATTTGTGGGCCAATGGTAACCTGTTATCTATCAAGCACAAGCACAAATGCTATGACTGTGGCACCTGGCACATAAAATAAACTCAATCAGTCCATGGAACAAATAAATGAACGAATGAGTGAATGGCAGCATAAAACAGAAGAGAGAACAAAAACATTTCTTACCATGACTATTTCTTGATGATCCTCCTTGTTATCACCAGCAAGTCCCTACAGGCTCTTGCCTGATTATACTCAGAAACACCCAGGCACACAGTTCCAGTTGGGAATGCGAGGCAAGCACTTTGCGGTTTTGCCATTGAGCTGCTGCCCAGCCCATTCATTCATTGTCAGCGTGGGAATTTGGGGCTGCTTCTATGAATGAATCTACTATGAATATTAAAAAGAGACTGACCAATGGCGTTAGTATGTGTCCAACCCAATTAGCATAACTTTGGGCCAATAGCATTGGTCCTTTTTTCAAGTCCTAATTAGCATAAGTTTGGACCAATAGGATTGGACCAAGCGCTATATAAACCCCTTGCAGGGTGTTCAGACGTAGAGAAGCAGCGGAGGCCATCGAGGTTGGTGTCCTGGATTTCGCCGGACTTTCGCCGGACTTTCGCCGGACTTTCGCCGGACTTTCGCCGGACTTTCGCCGGACTTTCGCCGGACTTTCGCGGGACTTTCGCGGGACTTTCGCCGGACCTTCGCCGGACCTTCGCCGGACTTTCGCCGGAGTTCCATGGAAGTTTCACCCTGGTTTGGTTCCCAGAGGTGATTCTTCGACTTCCAAGAGACTGCTGAAAGAAAGAAGACAGGGTTGAGGATCTGCTGGGGTCTGCTGCAGCGCTGGATGGAATGGCCCGCCATAAGGAGGTAGGTAGGACTCCTCTCTGCTGCGGAGGCCTCCCCACCCCGCACGCAGACCCCCTACCTGCCAGCTAGAGCCATGGAGTCTCATCTTCAAACTCTGGTTTCGAGGTATTGTTATACGTTAGGTAATTAGCGTCTAAATATTGAAATTTGTTAATTTTAATTTCTACTAGTGAAAATTATGAGACTCATAAATAATAGAAAAATATTTCCCACAGTTCTGGAGGTCATAAGCGGGAAAAGTCTGTCCCAATAGTTATGTCATCATTTCACAGAATAATGGTGGAGACTAACTTACTCTTAAAAGCCTTTTTTCTTTCCATTCATTTGAAGTTGATTTCAGTGCTATCAAAATGTTTAAGGGAACCTAGGAAATGTTTCATTTTGTTAATTTTCATTTATTGGTTGTTTTTATTATAGAATCCATTTTTAAAAAATTATTTAAGTTGTTAATGGTCCATTTATTTTATTTTATTTTTTAATTCAGTACTGAGAATTAAACCCAGTGCCTCACACATGCCTAGGCAAGTGCCCTACCACTGAGCCACAATCCTGGCCCATAAAATTCAATATTATATAATCAATATTTGTATAAGTAAGATACCTTATATATTTAGAATTATATTCTTAGGATGTACATGGTGGTGGGATTCACAGTGTTTCCACGTATACACATGGGAAAGCTGCATTAGAGTCTTTCCACTGTCTTTCCTTTGCTTATGCCCCTCCTTTCCCTCCATTCCCCATTGTCTAATCTACTGCACTTCTGTTCCCATCACCCCTCCTATTGTGGGTTAGCTCCCACATATCAGAGAAAACATTTGTCCTTTGTTTTTTGAAGACTGGTTTAGCTTCAGTTACCATGAGTGTCTCCAGGTGGCAGATATTGTAGTCATATTTTTTTCTGCAAATTGGTATGTTTTCTTTAATCTTCTTTTTAAAAAAAATGTTCTAATTCTACAGGACAATAGGATGCACTTTGACATAGCGTACATAAATGTAGTATGATTTCTCATGCTTCTGGTTGTACAGGATGTAGCATCACACTAGTCACGTATTTGCATATGTACTTTGGAATAAATGTCTGATTCATTCTACTATCCACTCTACCCAGTGTACCCCTTTCCCTCTCTTCACTTCTCTGTGCAGTCTAAAACAACTCTATTCTTCCCTACCCCCCCCCCCCCCCTTACTGTGATTATCATAAGCATATCAGGGAAAATTTTCTGGGATTGGCTTATCACTTAGCATGATAAGCTCCATCCATTTACCAGCAAATGTCATAATTTAATTCTTCTTTAAGGCTGAGTTTATTCCATCCTATATATGTGTGTAAAATTGTTTATGTGTGTGTATGTGTGTTTGCATTGTGTGTGTGTGTGTGTGTATATATATATATATATATGTATATATTACATACAATATATATATATTATATATATTATATATATGTATATACACACACACACACACATACACACATATGTATATCTATACTCATACACACCACATTTTCTTTATTCATTTATCTGTTGAAAGACACCTAGGTTAGTTCCACAGTTTATCTATTATGAATTGAGCTGCTGTAAACATAATGTGACTGTGTCATTGTAATATGCTGCTTTTAAGTCGTTTGGTTATAAAATGAGGAAAGGGAGAGCTGTGTCAGATGTTGGTTCCAGTCCACGTTTTCTGAGGAATTTCCATACTGCTTTCCATAATGGTTGCCTCAATTTGCAGTCACACAAGCAATGTGTGCGTGCACCCTTTTCCCCACATCCTCCCTAACATTTATTGTTACTTGATGATTGTATTCTTGATAACCATGTTTGTCCACTGGGGTGGGATAAAATCTTGGAGAAGTTTTGATTTGCTTTCTACTAATGGCTAAATATTGAACATTTTTCATGTATTTGTTGCTTCTTCTGTGAAGTGTCTGTTAGTTCCTTAGCCCATTTATTGATTTGGTTATTTGTTTTTTTTGGTGTCATGTTTTTTGAGATCTGCATATATCCTGGAGAATAATGCTCTGAGGTGCATGTGGTGAAGATTTTCTCCTATTCTGTAGGCTCTGTTTTCACATTATTGATTGTTTCCTTTGCTGAGAAGAAGCTTTTTAATTTGAATCTATCCTGTTTATTGATTCTTGAAATTCTTGGAATGTAGGAGTCACCTTAAGGAAGTCAGATCTTAGGATGACATAGTGAAGATTTAGGCCTACTTTTTCTTCTATTTGGCTCAGGATCTCTGTTCTAGTGCCTAAGTTTTGATCTATATTCAATTGAGTTTTGTGCAGAGTGAGAGAGAGGGCTTTACTTTTTATTTTATGTGGTTTTCCAATTTTTCCTGCACCATTTACCATTTGTTGAACAGGCTTTTTTTTTTTTTTTTCTTAAATGTATGTTTTTGGCGCCTTGGTCTAGTTTGAGATAACTGTGTTTTTGTGAGTTTTCTCTGTCTTCTATTCTGTACCATTCATTGGTCTCTGTGTTATTTTGATGACAATACAATGCTGTTTTTGTTACGATGTCTCTGTAGTACAGTTTAAGCTATAGTATTATGATATGTCTTCTCTCTTCTTGCTTAGTATTGCTTTGGCTATTCTGCATCTCTTATTTTTCCACACGAAGTTCATGGTTGCTTTTTCTAGTTCTGTGAAGAATTGTTTTAGGGATTTTGGAATTGAATTAAAATTTATGATCAAGCACAAATTAGTTAAAACTGTGAAAAAGAATCCCAGCTCACCATAGACCTGACAGTTGTCTGGTCACTGGTGTCGGTTGATCCAGCCACTGTCTCCTGCACACTTGATGGTTGCTAAGCTGAGGTTACTTGTTGCATTTTGGTGTTAAGGGTGTCTTAGAGTTGAGTCTACTCTGCATGTTGGTACTGAGGTCGTGGTTCAGCCAAGCTTTGCCAATGCACAGCCTGGGATACTTTTCTGGGTTTTTTAAACTTTTAATTGTGTCTGAAAATTTCTTTGGGTCCTTTAATCACTTTGCTTGATCAACGTCTGTGTGCTAGGCACTATACTAGGTGTGGAGTACAGAGTGAATAGGCCAAGTCCTTGCTTCCATGGAACTTAATGAAGTTAGTAGGATAATCATAGCATCTACCTCAAGGTTATGAGTTATGTAGGCATTTTGAGGTCTCAAATAATTTTCCATCCAAGTTCTACCTTTCCTCAATTTTTAATCAGAACTTGCCTTTTGACAAAAAGTTAAAAATCTCTCTTAAGATTCATAAGATACATAATTTATATCTTTTAGGCTTCAAATCTAATATCATTCATTTTCCAAAAGAGCAATATTGGGTCAAAATTGTATTTAACCTTAAAGTAGACTTGCAACATGGTATATAAAAACCTAGAAATAAAAAATGATATTGAATAAAATTTTAAAATGTAAGTGGTCAGCTTTTATTTCCATGCACACGTGCAAATTTTGATATGGCCATTTTCAGTAATTAAATAGGCAGCCAAGTTAAACATCATGAATATGAATGGCAATGTATTTGTGTAAGAGTATGTGTCTGAATTGTAGATGAACCACCAGTCTTGTGTGTGTTTATTGTGGAATTTCAGATAAGAATAGAGAAGGAAAGGATGGGTGGCAGAATTCTGGGAAAAAAGGCATTGAACCATCATTGGACTATACACTTGAGATTCTCTTGACTTCTCACCAGTGCCATTGACTTTGGAGTAAGAGTTCCACTAATTGGAGCTCATTTTTGAAAAATTGGCCATTCAGGTATTAATAAGAGGCTACTCTTTAAATAAAATCAAAGGGGTGTGCCTTTGAATGGAGTCATTATTTATGTGCAATCCTTGGGCCCAGTCTGCCTTTTTGGGATAACCATTAGATTGATATAATATGATGTGTTCCTGAACCCAGAGGTGAAATTCCTGTCCAGGCCCCTATTGATAACACTAATAAAGTCCAGTGACATTAAGGTGAAAATTCCAAAAAATCTCAAACAAACCTATGCTTTATCATTTATTCTGTTTGGGACTCAAAAATTAATAATAATGGCACTGTCAATAGAAAATCTTAAATATATTCAAGTCTCTGCAAAGCTGACCACCTCAAGTAGTACTTATTCCCAAAACTCTGTGTTCCATTTTCTTGGCTTGATTGTTTTCATAGTCGAGTTTACATATGGAAACTTCTAATGTGCTAATTTGTTCATTTTGCTTACTGCCTGTTGTTTTTCCTCTAGAATGTAAGTCCCAAATGAATAGGAACTGCACTGGTGTTTTTTTTTTTTTTTTTTTTTTCTTTGTCTTTCTAGTGTCTGGGAGGACAATGCAGAGCAAAGAGCAGTTCCTCATAAATATTTGTTAAATGAACACAAGAAGAAGTGAATTTTATTTATTTATTTAAGATAAATTTATGTTTCTCTGTCCCATCAAACTTTAATGAGTTATTTGGTCACTGACTTTAAA